TGCAAAGATCACAGGTTGCTGCCATCTTATTTAGATAAAGCTCTCTTGACAGTGTCCTGTGCCTGACCCAATTTTTCCCCCTTTTTTGCCCCCTCACAGGTTGGAGAGATTGCTTAAACAAGTTATCTCTTCCTGAGCTGCTTTTTTCCACAGCACAGTGCTTCCCTAAAAAGTGCTAACCCCAAGTTAACAAGCTCAGCTTTGACCTTAATTAGTTGATTAGAACCCTCTGACCAGCTCTGCTGCTGCCTGAAACTGACCAGACCTTAATCAGTTTGACACTGAAGGTCTTTATGGTTCGGTGTAAGAAGTTTGGTTGTAAATGTGCACATTGGTTGGATTTTTTTTTAAAATTACCATCATATTTGTGAACTATCATTAAATGAAGTAGCTGCTAAACAAGGAGAGGCTGTATGGGTAGTCCTCAAGTTGCAACAGCAGTTGGGACCAGGATTGCCATTGCTAAGTGATGCGGTTGTAAAGTGTGATGTCACATGACTGCATTGCTTAGTGACGGTAATCCAGGCAGTCCCAGTTATAGTCGTAAACTGAGACACTCAGATTATTAAGTGGGAAGCAGGACTCCTGGGTAAGGAGTGTGGAGGCATCTCAGGCTGGTGGGGGAAGAGCTGGGAGGCCCAGTGCAGGCTGCATGCAAATTGGGAGATTGGGTGCTATGGAGTGGCACAAGCGCAGGAAGGGTTGGGGGGAAAGGAGGGTGCAGTGCATGTGAGTAAAGGGGGGAAGCAGGGTGTGGTGTATGTGTGTGTATGCGAGCAAGCAAGCAAAGGGCAGAGGCAGTCACCGTACATGCATGTGTGTGAGTGAGGGGAGGAAGGAGGACACAGTGGATGGTGAGTGAGTGTGTACAGGCAAAGGGGGGAAGAGGCCACGGTGAGTGCGTGTGTGTGAGCGAAGGAGGAAGGAGGGTGTATGTGTGTGTGTGTGAAAGGGGGAAGGAGGGTGCAGTGCATGCATTTGTGGGAGTGAAGAGGGAAAGGAAGGTACAGTGCACGCGAGTGCAAAAAGGCCCGGGGCAGACTTACCTGAGCAACTTGTGACCTTCCCTACTGGCTTCCCCATTGACTTGTTGGAAGTCAGCAGGGAAGGTTGTAAATGGCGATCACGTGACTGTGGGATGTTGCAACTGGCCATAAGGGTGAGGTGGTTGCCAAGCACCTGAATGAATTTTGTTCATGACCGTGGCGGTGCTGCAACAGCTAGAACTTTGAGGTCTGGCCAGTCACACTGATAACGCCAAAACATTTTGCAATGGGTTCGGGATGGGCAAGCTTTACATTTTATATAATAATCAGTATAGATACTGATCTGAATGTCTGTTTGAACTTATCTGCTAACAAGCTTATCTTAACAAGTTTCCCTGTAACAGCCTGAATACTTTGAAAATGACAGGCTATGACTTGAATATTACTTTCACGGACATTTTTCAGGGGGAGAGGTCTATACCTTTGGCCTAGGCCAATATGGGCAACTTGGACTTGGCACATTTATCTTTGAAACTTCTGAACCAAAGATGGTGGATCATCTGGGAAAGCATAAAATCCATAACATTGCAAGTGGAGAAAACCATACAGCTTTAATAACAGGTATGTATGCTGTTAACTCTGGTGCTACATTTACTATGTATCTAAGGGTTTTATGATATTAAAGGTTAATAGGTCCTCATAGTCCTAAACAGATTTCAGAGCAATTGTTAACTTTAATTGTTAAGTTAAACAAAAAAGAAAAAAACGAAGACTAAGTTCGCATGTAATTGTCAACTCATGGGTTTGCATTGGGATGGTGCCCTGGGTAATCACTCAGTGTTGCAACTGTTGTTGTCATATCTTCAGATTTTCCCACACATTTCCTTATTCTGGAAACCACAATTTGCCATTAAATCTGAATATGGCAAATTGTGATTTCCCTCCAAATTAGAAATGGAGGCAATAATTTATAATGGGCCTACTTGGGCATATGTGCAGGTCTTGTTATTAAGTCTTTAAAATTTTAGTGGCCCTGGTTGTAGATTCCTGATCTAATGAAAAGCCTATTTTACATGTTGAAATACGAAAGTATAGAATTGTTGTTATAATAATATTTTTGTTTACAGCTTGGGCCATTAATATGTTTCTCTGTGTTTAGACAATGGTCTTATGTATACCTTTGGAGATGGACGGCATGGTAAATTGGGACTTGGGGAAGAAAATTACACTAATCAGTTTGTACCTACATTATGTTCCAATTTTTTGAGGTTTACTATACATTTGGTAAGTCTTCAGTTTTTTCTTTATGCTTTAAAATAGGTCTCATGTGGCATTTAAAAGATCTGATTATTTAAAGGTAGTATTATGCTTCACTGTATTTTTTAATTATAGATGAGCACTGAAGACATTAAATATACTTTTATTCATTACCCCACCATCACATTTTTGTCTAGGTTTTATTTACATGAAAAAAATGATTTAACATTATTCAAAATAAAAACACACTATAGCATAGAATGATAATAAGAAAAAGAAGAAACAAAATGGCATGAGAAATGTTTGATTTCCATACAACCTTTTCATTCAGTTGTATTATTTGAAAAACATGTTTCAGAGCATCATATAAGAAATAGATTTTTTTCCAATGTTTTCCTATACCTTTAGATGATGTTGATTGATACTTCTTTTGTTAATTATTTCAATAAACATGGACCAGTCCATAATGAAATTGTCCACTTTAGCTTCTTTTTTAACACATTATAATTGTCTAACATTTTTCCTGTAACAAAATATCCCATATACTGGGTTTCAGTAGTCCATATCAGCTCCAATCAGATCTTTCAAAATCTAGCAACTACTTTATGAGTTGCAGCCATTAAATATCCCACTAAGGCTGTACTTTACATTTTTATTTAATGATGTAATGCCAGTTGAGGAGTACTATTTATTTGTTGTTGTGCAATTTGTTCTACTTCCTTAAACCTATTCCCAAAGTAATTTAACTCTGTCACAGATTTATCAATTATGGTAAGACGTTTCCCTAATTCTACATTCTCTCCAGCACAATTGGGAGATTTTTTTTAATATATGAAACCCATGCTGGGGACTTTATGTTCTTTGAATCAACTTTAAGGAAAACTCTTATATTAAAGAGATGTATATATTGATACAGATTCATAAGATAACTTGTGATATATTTTATTCCAATTCTCTATATTTATTTTTTTCCCCAAATCACATTCACATGTTAATCTTTTCAGCTGGAGTATATAAATTTGGAAGACATGGAAAACATTTGAATGAGGTATATTTTTATTGTGAGCAAAGACAGTATGAGGTGAAAATAGTTCAAAGGAATGTGCAAGCTTCTAAGATATATGGCCTTCTATTGCACGTATAAAAATGTCCTTTTATCTTTTGGAATTTATGTGTCTTGGTTATGTTTAAAATCAAGACTGAAATCTGTATTTATTTACTCAGCACTGAATTTCACTGAACTGCATGAGACTTATTTCTGAGTACACATGCATACAATTATACTGTATTTTAACAGATATATAACTGATCTACAGTTGTTTAAGGAAAGAGCTGTTTCTTTCTCCTCTTTCTCCTTTGCTCTTTCTTGGTAAACACCTACCCTTTTGTGTGCTACAATTATCAGTGTTTGGGAACACTTGAGGTTAGAAAGATGTCTCTGACCACCTGCCTCTTGTAACATCAACAAACTCATCCTCTTTTCACCTTCAGATACTGAGAAGAGGAATGAGATTCAAAGAAAATACAACATTTAGTTTGCTTTTACCCCTGAAGACTTTTGGCAGCATGTGATCAATTAAAATAGTAATCCCTCTCATTGCATTATGCCACTTTGTCTCTTCTTAATATCTATTTTATGCAAATATATAACCGTACAGAGTTTTAACAATAAAAATCTTTTAAATATATATTGCATTGTCAAGTGTGTTTACTTACAGTGACAATTATTTTAACTTTCTCTCATAGTCACTGGTTCTTAAAACATTGGCCGCTGTTAGAGGGGACAGTTAAGGAAGTAGGAACACATTAGGCAAAGGCAACAGTAGGGTATACTAACAAGGTTAGGATTCAAGTTTGTAGCTTTGGCTACTTCTCTCAGTGTCTCCCCTTTGGCTAGACATAAATTAAGGATCTACAGAAAATGATCCTGGTGAAAACAAACATTAAACAAAATAACAAGATTTTTTCTAAAAAAAAAAAATCAAGCTTAATTTAAAAACCAAGAATTCTAATCTTGTATGATAATGTAGGGTTTTTTTCCCCCCTTTTAGTTTTGGGTGTTTGGTATGTCATCTTGGCTCAAAATTCTGTGGAGAATTTATTTTTGTTATTATTTTTGAATTGTGTGTGTTGAGATATTATTAAAAAATTCTGAAGTCTTTGTAATCAGGAATATATTTTTCTGTTCAGGGTTCTCCATTTCCATGTATCACTTCTAATTATTATTAGAAGTCCGTTGTGTTTATGTTATAGGTTGCTTGTGGTGGCTGTCACATGCTGGTTTTTGCTACTCCAAGGCCTAACATATCAGATACCATTCATGTGCTAGAAGAAAATGAACACAACTTACCTGTTCAAGTATCCGAAATGGGTGGAGATGCAGACACCTTTCAGCAAACGTTTTCAGCACGTTTGAGACGGAGAGAGAAGGTACACAAGTAACTTTCTAACAGGCTATTAAAAACTGTATGTGTGAAAAACTGAAGTATCAGGAAAATGTCTTTTTTTCTGAAAGTTTTCTTTAAAAATCTTTTAATTTTTAGAAGTTTTTTCTTGAAATGTTTTATCTTCATGATGAAATTTTTATTATAACTTCTTGGAATCAGAGAGAAGAATGGGTCTCTGTTTGTAATACTTTCAAGGAATGAAGTATAAAATATGAGATTGTAGACCCTAACTGCAACTAATGGAAGGGAGGTGCAAAAGTATATCCATGACAGTACACAAAAAATAAATTATATTCTTTTTTGTCTTTGTCTAAAAAATAAAAGGTTAAATTACTTCTAATTCATAGGTTTGAGTTTGCAGTTCAGCATACTGTGAACTTTTTAAACCTTGAAATTAAGTATGTTTAATTTATTGCAAATCTAGGTCAGATAATTTTAAAATTTCAGTCAAAAATCTAAGGCAATTAAACAGCCTATAGTTTGGAACGGTGTATGTTCCAAAAACTGAAATGTGTATAATGCCTTTAACTTAATATATCCTGTACATTATTCTTTATAAATCTAATATAAATACTGATTTACTTTCTCCTAATCCTTTCACAAGGAAAAATCACCAGAACAATTTAGTCGACTGGTACGAACACTTCCTCCATTGGGGAAAATTACTCAGAAGCTTGCATCAAGTGTTATCAGCAGTACTGTTCCACTTGGTGGAACAACCCATCCTGATCGAAATAAAGAATCTGAATCCATTTTGGACCATGAAACAGGTAAACTGTGTTTTGTTTACCTACAGGGGTGATCAGTATCAAAAAAAAAAAGGAGTTTTACTATAACACAAAATTCTAGACACATTAAATTGAAATCTTCAAGTGGGATATTGAATAACAGGGGCCAGGTTATTTGTGGGACCACCTGTCCGTAGCTGTCCTGGCCCTTTGGAACAGCCTCACCCTGAGATTTGGAGGGCCCCTATTATAGCCTTCCGGAAGACCATGGTGACCTGGCTCTTTCCCCAAGCATTGGTTTAAGGTGGGAGTGAGTCTAGCAAATGTGGCTGTTGAATGAGAGATGCATCTCAGGGATTTACGCTGTTTGCATGATGATAGAAATTTGAACCACTGCATCAAGTTCTGATGAAATAAAGTTTCCTTGTATTTCATTGTCTCTTTTCATTTGCATATTGAAACAAAAATGTTTCTCCCACTGTATTAACAGGGCAAACTCTCTTTTCCCCCCAAAAAAGTCAAAGTACGTCATGTATTTTGTTTTAAAGGTGATAAGAAAGAGGAGAACAGTGATACAGAGGACAGCTCAACAGAGAATGATTCAGATGAAAATGAAGGAAGAACCCTTGGTGATACTACAGATGTCTTAAATATGGTAATGTATTTACTAGTGAATGGTTGAAGAGGTCTGTGGGAGAACCTAGGAATACACAAAACAGGACAGTGTGTTGGTTTGAATTGTAACAAAACCATTGTGTGTCAGATTTTCTGCTGAACTGTACTGGGTCAGTCACAGTTCAACAGAAAGGAAACCTGGAATGCTTTGATTGTTCCAAATACTAAACATGGCCAAGGCAATTTTAAATTAAATTTTAATTTAAATGAATAAATAAATAAGGAGCTGGCACATATGAGACTCAGATATTCTTACAGAGTGAAAATGGAAAGCATTGTAATGCTTTGTTTAGGTGTGCCCACTTGTCCAGGAAAAAAAAAATTAAGCAGGAGTGGAAAAAATTATCAGGAATGGGGGTTCTGTAGGGGACCAGGCAAGGAACAGTTTTCCCACTTGATCTAATGGATTTTGTGATTGATTGTGCCTGACAATACCCACAATATGGTCACACAATTCCAGATATGCATATCTGATCTAAAAATGTAGCCTATCTCTGACCCAGTTTAGTACTAATGGTTATTTTATACTGGGGGAAAAATTATTTTTAAAAAGTGATATGGAAAGATGCTGTTTGAAATTCAGAATTTTCTTAGAGTACATTTTGCTATAAAATTTTGTATTTCAGCACTATGACTAAATTCAATATTTAGAATCGGGAAAGTAACAGGTGATACCTTTTAAAGTTTCAGAAAAACTAGGCCTTGTTTGGGAGGCATAGACTCTGCTTACAGTCTCCAGTTTTGTTTTTTTAATAATGAATTATTAAATTTATATGCCACCTGACTCTCAGCAACTCTGGGAAAGTTTTTTTGTACACATGTAAGGCTACCTAAAATGTACAGAATTTTTATCCTGTTTCTGAGAATTCTTAATAAAACTATACTTTGCTGTTGTATGCATTCAGTCAAAATAGACATGATTGAGCTAAAACAAAAATAGTCTGACATGTAATAAAACTTTTTCCTGCATTTCTCTAATTCTGTTTTTTTCTGGTTGTTCAAAAACTGCTCTGAGATGTTCCAGTAAAAAGGCATATTGCCTGTATGTAAACCTTAATTGCTTGCTTTTAGTATTACTCAGATGAAATTATTTTTCAGACCCATGTGATGAGGCTAAATCCCAATGACCAATCGGTAGAATTAGCACCAGTTCAAAAACAAAAGGTATTGTCAAATTATTTATATATTTCACGTTGCTTAATTTCCATGCTTTTGTACCAGTAGATGAAACCTGGTGAACCTCTGGTCTGCAGGCTGGATGCACCCTCGAAGGTTTCAACAACTTGCCCATGACACTTCAAGTGGAATCCATCTTGCCCATGATTCCTCTCTCCATCTTGCTTTATATCATCTTCTCTGTCTTTTATCAAGTGTGCAGAAGAAAGTGAAAGAGTGATGGTTCTCCATCTTCTTTGACAAACAAGAGAACACCAATCCATTCCTCCCTGTGTGGGAAAAGGCTTTAAGTGACCATTCTTTTCCTCCCTGTGTGTGTAGGCATTCTTTTTTTCTAGATATGACTAGAAAAGCTGGAGCTGGAAGGTTACGGGTTATAAGATTTCAGCAGAAGGGTCCTGCCAACCCCAAAGCCCTGCTCCTTGATTCTACATATGTTTGAAACGAATAGTTGTTGCAGAAAACAAATTATGCACATTTTTCAGTGGCATTATAGTGATAGATCTAAAGGTGTTTGATTTGCTGAAAAAATACTTCTGTTTGCACAAAAACACTTCTCTTGCCCCTAGGATAGATCAAATCCTCCATTCCATTATAGTCCCTGTAGCCTAATTTACACTGTTATGTTGGGTGTGTTAACACTCAACCTATTATTCTAAGGCATAGGAATCTGAAGCAAAGAAAAGAGTGTAAGGGGATCTGCACTGGGAAAGTGGAGCTTGGTTTATGGTTTTTTAGATGTTGCTGCTACTGTTTTAACCTTTTGCTTTTCCTATATTTAAACCTCTTTTCCATTATTTGATTGTCTACCCTTTTCATGTTCTGATGCCTTTTTATTTGCCCTTAATTTGTTCTTAATGCTCTCCTTTCTTTTTTCTTTTCTTGCTTCTCACATGGATTAGAAGAAAAATAAAAATATGAAACTGAACATTGATGGTAAGGGTGGGTTGAAAGAATCTGATCATATCCAGTTTCAGGAGGGCTTAGAATCTGGCAAAGTATCTTCTCATTTGGAGTCTTTGGCTTCTGAATGTTTTGAAAAGGATTCCTCTACAAAAAAAAGTTGCTATGATGCTTTTGTGCAGAAAGTTAAGATTCGTAAAAAGTATTCAAAAAATACATCTGAACAACTTTCTGTTATTGCATTGAAGTTTGACACTCAACAAACTGTAAAAAAAGAATTTAAAGTATCAAAAAAGAAAAATACTGATAAAATAAATTCTAGACCAATTCAGCAAGAAGTGCCGTGTAGCCATTCTAGTAATGATCAGCTGGAAAAACAATATGGCGATTATCAGAAAAATAAAGTAGAAGCTAAACCTGATCAATATATACAAGGTAAAAACAACAGTGAAAAACAAAAAGAGTATAATCACAAAGAAAGAATTACAGAACAAATAGCAGTAAGAATGTCATCTTCTTCAGGTCAGGAAACTATGAATAAGTCATCAGTGTATGTTTTTCAGATAAACCAATTTAATTCTGAAAACATGACAACTAGAGAAACAAGTATAGAAGACAGAAACAATAAATGGAAAAGCGATCAAATTGATTATAAAGAAAAGAGAAATTTAAATTTTAACAATATGCAAAATAAAAAGAAAAATGTGGATGATACATCAGAGGAGGATACCCAGGAAGAAGAAGAGAATCCAGAAAATGAGGAAGGCAATGAAGAAGATGAAGTAAGTGTGGAAGAGACTGAAAGGGGACATGGAATACAAGAAAAAGAAAATGATAGTGAAGAAAAATCTGAAGAAGAGGAAGTTGAAAATGAAGCTAGTATAGGCAAGGTGGATTCCATGATAGGCTCCAACAGTGATGAAGAAGAAAATAAAAATGATGAATTACAACCTGAAACAGAAAATGAGCATAATCTGGAGGAGGAAGAAGAGAACTTTCAGAGAAGCAAGAAAGATGACACAGATAATAAACTGCAAGAGATAGAAGGAAGAGACGTATATGAGCTTGAAAAAGAAAAAAACCCTAACATCATGGGAAAAGGGAAAATTAACATAAAACTCAAAGAAAAGGAACATGAGAAGAATGACTGGATGAAGGACAAAATGAAAAAAATGGAGAAGAAAAAAGATGATGAAGAAATGGGAGATGAGAAAGAAAACGGGGAAGAGGAGGAGGAGGAGGAAGAGGAGGAGGAAGAGGAGGAGGAAGAGGAGGAGGAGGAAAACGGTGAGGAGGAAAATTATGAGGAATGTAAAGATGGGGAGGAAAGTGGTGATGCTATGTTGATAGAGGAGGAGGAGGGCACAGAGGAAGAGGAACCTGAAGGACAGGATCAGGAAGAGACTGAAAGAGAGGAAGAAGGACAAGAGGAACAAGAGGGAGAAATTGAAAGAGAAGTAGATGAAGAAGAAAGTGTGGGAGATGAAGAGGAAGAAGATAAGGAAGAGGGAGACAATGAAGAAGAAGAGATAGAAGATGAACCAGAAGTTGATGAAGGGGAAGAAGAACAAAGGGAGGAAGAGGAGGAGGAAATTGTTGAGCATGAAGAGAAAGAAAAAGTAGGCAAAAACTCCAAAGGTCAAAAATGTAAAGAAAATAATAAAAGAAGAAAGCAAAATACAAACAGCAAAATTAAAAACTTCAAGCAAAAAATAACATTGAAACAAGCAATGAATGGATTGCAACATACACAAGAGTTTTGGAACAATGTTTTACCACATTATTTGACACTAAAGTAATCCTGGAGACTAGAAATAATTTTTACATGAACATTTTTTTCAGAAAGCTATAGTATAATGCCTATATACATGAATGTATGTGTGAATGCATGAATGTATGTGTGTGTGTGTGTGTACATACATACATGTGTATATATGTATATGTCTATATGTACAGTATATCTATAATATGTGTGTGGGTGTATGTATGTGTGTGTATACACACACACACACGTTTTAGAAATCGATAAAAAACACATCCGTTGAATTTACTCTTTAACATCTGGAGTGTGAATTTCTTTCCACCCATGTAGGATAAATCTCCTCACCAAATCCCATGTCATTAGAACCAGAGTTCTTCATAAAATATCAAATTCCATATTTTTGGAGTATAATTCAGCATCATATTTACATCTTTAACTCTTACGTTTTCCCCTAACATATCTAATGACTTGAAATCAAAAAGGAGCTGTGTAAAAACACTACCAAATCGTATGAATCAGAGAGCTCTCAAATTTCTTATAATGCCAACACAAAAAATCCAATATCCTTTATAAAAAAAATTCTTTGAAGAGTCCAATAAACACAGAACAAGATTTTCTGATGAATTAACTTCACTTCTAGGTCATAAGAAGTATGTTTAACCTTTTACAATTTTCCAAAATTGGATATTCCAGTTAAATATTACTAATATGGAAGTTTGATAGCTGTCATATAAATTTCCATATCTCAGAATAAATTTGTAAATTGTGGGCAGGCTTCCTACCTTCACTTCATCATAAAATAGGAAGGTGATGCAATACAGTGGTAACAAGTCCATATAGGATCAGATTCCTTGATGCTCTTTCTAGTGTGTCCTCGCTGCATAATTCTCTGAAGCATCTGACCAACTACATTCATCGCCACTGTGCCCTAATACAGCCTTCCCATGTTGGTGCCTCCAAATGTCTTACACTCAACAGTGGGCGGGTCAAAACCTGCAAGGTGACAGGAGTAGCATGGATGTTGCTAGTTAACCTACATAATTCACACACAGTAGCTAATCCAAGTGTAGCCTTTTTTGATGGGAGTTGTTTTAGTAATCTAATCCTTCAGGAGAGTGGCAGGTTGGAGAGGGTACCCTTCAGATTTGCTTTACCATTTAATATCATTTAGGCACACATTGTGTGTTTGCATTCAGTAGACATACAGATTCAAATTAGAAATCCTTGGAAGTTAAAATATCTTGTTAAAAAACAGTACAGTCAATTTAATACACTTGATGTGCCTTATGACAATTATGATATGCTTTAAAATTTTTTGTTATCTTATAAACACATAGCTGTTATGGATTTCATTTTGGTTTTACTTGAGAATATATGAGAAGAAAATCCTCTGCTAAGGATTTGAATTTGGAAACATACATTTGTAATGTGAAATTTAGATGTGAGTATAGAAGAAAAATAGAATGTATCCGAAAATTTCCATTCCCAATTTCCTCCCCGCCCCCCGCCCAAATTATCCCTCAGCATCATAGTTTCAATCCATGTTAGATTTATGCAGCAGCAAAACAATTGACTCTGGGAAAAAATACTGAATATATTTGTTCCTTATTTACCACATTTTAATATAGCTTTTTAAACTTACATGTTTTCAAACTTATACACACAATAAAATACTAAAATTAATAAATATAAAATTATAAAATACTGAAAAAGTAAAACCATATCATCAGAAGATTGCATCAGTATCTTAAGATCATGACCAAAACCTGTGTGAAAGAAAAAGAAGTAATAATACTATCAAGAAACGTCATTGTTCCTCTTTATCCTGTATTTGTCAGAGCTTACCTAGAATATTGTGTCCTGTTCTGGGCACTGTATTTTAAGAACGACATTGATAAACTGGAGCATACAGTATACAGAGGAGAGCAACCAAGATGACAAGGAGGCTAGAAGGAAAAATTCAGAAGGAACAGTTGGAGATGTTGGGTATGTTTACCATGGAGACGGCTGCAGGGAGATATGACAGCTGATTTCAAGAATCTGAATGGGTGTCATGTAGAAGACTTGTCACAGAAGATAGGACAAGAAACAGTAGATTGAAATTACAAGAAAGTACATTTTGGTTAGACTTCAAGAAAAAATCTCTAATAGCAAAGGCTGTTTGGCAAAAGAATGGAGGGTGGTGGACTCTCTTTAAATGAAAGTATCCAAACAGAGGCTGGAGAGCTATCTGCCAGGTATGATATAGAAATGGAATCTTGTTCTGGGCGGTGGTTGGACTAGATAATTTCCATGGTTCCTTCCAAACTTTACATTCTGTGATTCTAAACAATAAAACTACAGTAGAAAGATTAACACTCTGAATTTCTTGATAAATATATGTTGGATCTTCATATGCAATTGTTCTGGAAAACTTCTAAGCAACATTCCTTTGGCTCTTTCTCAGAACTGTAGATAAGTAGCAATAAATGGATTTTCTATTTTAACAGTATCTGGTTATTCTTTGGCAAATATGTAATATTAAAAGTACATTGAATACACTGCATTTCCCTGCAGGGTTATTATATTCAAAACTGATACAGCAGTAACAGGGCATCTTTATTAGCTCACTGTTTTTTTGTTTTTGTTTTTATTGTCCAGTAAAAGCACATTAGAAATGATATGGTAGTTCTGCAGTTGTTTATCTATTCACATGGAAAGAGAGATTGAGATCCAATTTTTTACAGATGTCTTCCACTGGATATTGTATAATCCACCGCTTTTAGCAGTTTTATCATATCACCAAAATATGATACTAGGAAGAAAATGATCAGATGTAACAAAATACAGTATGGTAGGAGATTGGATTGTTTTCCCTCCCCTGCCTTCACATACTATGAAATCAGGGAAGACATCATATGCACAGGCAGATTGCGCAAGTATACTTTGGCCCTCTATTGAAATCGGCATCTTCATTTTACATATACTCAATTTCAAACTCAGGCCGTGTTCTAAGACCTAAATGCATCAATTTACCAAAACTAGTGTTATTTTACCTATTGTAAAATACAGCTTTGGCAATTGCCATGATGTGGCCAAACTCTGCTATTAAGATAGGTCACTTTGTGATGCATTATCCCAGTAAAAATATAAACTGGGTTTTATTAGTGAGTGGAACAGGTCCAAGCAAAGTGGTATATTTGTACTTCAGTCTTATGAATACTTGGTTATAAACTGAAGTCATTGTAAACAGAACAAGTTGTATCTCTGTTTTGTTTTTATTAGCACTCTTAAAAAATGTTCAGTTTACCATGTCTTAATGTAATAATTGGAAATGTTTCCAGGATGTATGCCATTTTATGTTTATAGTTTTTCTACCTTTGAGATAGAGAGTTTTTGCATAAATTGCAGCACTGATGCTTTTTGCATAATAGTTAAATAACTGTTCATATTAAGGCACAGCCTCATTTGCTCTATGAAATCAGGAACATTGGCCACAATGATTCATTCCTCTGTTTTCTCAGTATTTTGTAAGAATTGTTGATAATAAAACAGCAAGCAAAGTTCTGCTCTGCATTCAGACCAGAGTCTCTTCTGCATAAAAGAAATAGTGGCATCTTTCAATAACTTTGAGTTTTAGCTGATACATAAGGCTTAGTATGAGCTATTAGCAGGCCCCAGTTTTATTTGCTTATTAATACAGTAAATAAAGGTGGAACTTTATTAAATTTAAGATACAGTACTATCATATTAATGTTCATGTCTATCCATAAAGTAGATCATAGTATTTAAAAGCTCCCTTTCTGCTTTGTTATAATCCATACATTATCTTGCCTTTTGTCATCTGGCAACATGGAAAGTAAATTGAATAAGATTTCATACAAACCATCTCTTACAAGGGACAGAAAGCTATTCTGGGATGTTGAAAGTGTGTGAGTGAGCAGGAGAGATTTTGAGTTTATGCTTAAATTAAAGAAATGTTCTAGAGAAGATCATTACCTCTACCCTTAATGGATCAACTTGAGATGTTTGCTGTGGCCAAAAATTGAGACTTCTCTCCAGTTGCTGGCATGTCAGAAGGTAACTAAGTACTTCTAATCTAAGAAAGTGAAGTGTGTATATTTTCCCACATCCTTTTCCTATCTTTTATAAAATATTCTATCTTCCTCCTCCTTTTTGGGGGGGAAAAATGTTTCATTTGATTCAGCATAAATTGGATTTAAAATGCTCAGTACCCCCCCAAAAAAGGGGGGGATGATAAAGTAGATGTTACTTTAGGTATTCATCCTTATGTAGGTAATGAGCATTTTCTAATTTTCCATGACTATGGAATCTGGAGAAGTAGTAGAAATTGGAGAAGCTGATAGCAACCCAAAAGGAGGCCTTTTTACAATTTGAGGTCAAAGATTTAATGCTCACCAGGGGTAGGGGGAAAAAGTGAAGATATAATGTCCATTGACTTAGAACTCTTGATTTATAATTGTTATATTATTTTGTTATTCTCTAGCAGATAAACAGCTGGGATAATTTTTCTTTATATATTACATATTGCAACTAAGACACATCTGTTTTGCAAAATATAGTTATCTGTTAAAACATTTCTTCATGTTAATTAATGCTGTTGTCTTTAGTAAAATAATGGGAAAAATTACATAATACAGTCATAACTGATTGTTTGGGGGAAATTGGTGTATTCAGAAGTAGAATAAATGGTGCTTTCTTATTGGCAATTTATAAAATTTATAAAAGATTGGAAAAATGTCATATAATAATTGCATATATAAAACACCTGTTTTAGTTCTCTCAATGTAAAATAAGCTGTTTGAATAATTAGTATAGCATTTTATCTCAGTGAAACACCAGTTTTAAATAAGTATCAACATAAATTGAAATTCTGTTTTTGAAACAATTTTTTAATATTTCTATTACAATATGGAGAAGAACACTTATGAACTTATACCAATCTGGATTTTCTCTATCATAGGAAATTGTATTTCCAATTAAATCCATGATTTTTTTTTCTGCTGCTCCTGCTTTGGACTTAATTTCCACAGAATTGTTATGAATACCAGACATAATTTTATAAATGCAAAGTTTGTTAGACTTCTTATAATTTAAGATTTCTTTCCATAGATGTCTTTAAAAATACTTTTCAATAAGATATTTGTTCAGACTGAAGTCATATCATATCATACAGTAATGGCAATTGAAAGTATTTAGTATGGTTACAGTGCTTACTAATTTTTATGAGAAATTAGCTTAACTGAATAGATCTTCTCCTTCTCCTTCTTCCATTGTGATTGCAGGGCCTGCTTATTTTTGCACTGCAGTCCCCTAGCTCTTATGGTGAAATTATCAATGCATGATGAGAAGAGTGGTCCTCATCAAGGGCACGATCATCATAATGTCATAAGAGTGACTTGTTGCAGAGCCTGACGCTAAGGGGTGCTGACTAGCTAAGGGGTGCTGACTAGCTCAAAGTCATCCAAGTGGCCTCTATGCCTAAGAGAGGGTTAGAACCTGTGCCTCCTCATTCCTAGTTCAGCACCTTAACCACTATACCATACTGGCTCTCAAATGAGCTTAATTTATGACTTGCATAATTTAAAAATAGAAATGATTTTTTATGTTTGCTACATTCTCAACATTTTAATGAAGTTCAGAATCATTATTGCAAAATGAGATATTTAGAAGTAATGGACTGTGATATAGTAATTTGCATTCTGGGCCAGAATTCATTTATTTTCTTTTGAGGTCATTGGCTTTGCCAGTTTTTAGTTCAACTGTTCAGAAATTCCCAGAATTTCTTTATAATTGAAACTGTTCTGGTCTTTAAATATCTTTAAATGGTGAAGTGTGAATTACATTATCTGGCCTGCATAAAATAATCTGTAATATAATGATAGAAAGTTTTCATTCATTCTGATGTACACATAATATCTGTCTTCAAAAAACATCAGGATCAACAAACATCTGATGAGGAAGACAGAAGTCGTAGTTATAATACTGAAGAAGTAGAAGAAGAGGAAGAAGAAGAAGAGGAGCATCAACAAAAACAATTTAACACTGATCAGGCTCCTGAAGATCAGGGAAAGAGCAGTAACTCTTTTGAGAATGAAGAAAATAATCAGATGGGTATAGAAACAATAGAGGTAAACAGTGTGTTTGTTTTCTGGATTAAGCTTTTGGGGAATGAGATGCTATCTCATTATTCACTGCAATGTTAGTTACACTGTAGAACTATCTTCTGCCGATCCCCCCCCCTTTTTTTTTTGGTAGATGACGCTTTTATGATCTCTTTCTAAAAATTCTTTAAATGGTGAAATTCTATTTTGCAGTGTCTGACCAGTGTGAAAGTTTGATGTGGAAATAAGAAGCTTTGATTCATAAACTTAGCAATAAAATGTCTGTCTTCATATCAAAGGATCAAAAAACATCTGATGAAGAAGAGACTTGTGCTAGCAGTGATGATGAAAATGTAAAAGACTGTGTTGAAAACAAAGATGGTGAAAAAGAAAAAGAGAAGGAACAAGATGCAACAGAATATTATGATGATCACGCACTTGATGAGGAGGAACAAAGCAGTATATTATGTGAAAATGAGGAAAAGAATCTTACAAATATGGAAACAACAGAGGTAAACATTTTGTTCATTTTCAGCGCTGAATTTCTTTGGAATTATAACAGCTTTTTGGAGGAATAATATAGACTGCAGTGTAGGGTGTTTTTTCTCTTTTTACTGCAGGAGAAAATATTATACAAAAATAACAATTCAGTGTGAATTTCAGTATGAATCTAATTCTTAAGGATTTCTTATTTACAGATTTATGGGTTTCCATAAACTCCTTTTTTTCTTCCCTCTTACCTTTTACAGGCAGGCTTGAATTTCCAACACTGTATAAATTACCAAGCTTAGCTATCCCTGGTTTTGGCTGCTCTCCTACTTGTGGATTGTGGAGAAACTCTTCAGCCTGAGTTCTAGCCACTCTTTAGCCAATGTTTAGCCACCTAGGTTTGGCTGACTATGTTACAGCATAGGATTTTCAGCAAAGTACTGGTTGTCTTTGTTATTATTATCATCCCTCAGTCTATCAGTCTTTGGTTGGGAGGAGAAAGGTTTGTTACCAGCTGCCTATTGGCATTTCTCAAACTGGTTTGGCTACAGAGCTCTGCTGCTCCACTCAGCTTTCAGCTGCTCATGCACTCAATTCAGTGCCCACTTTTTCCATGCCTCCAGCTGACTCTTGCACTAAGCTGCCTTGGTGCTTCTTGCTTTCCTCCTTTCTTGCACGCAGCCTTCTTTTTTCCTGCTTTCCAACACTTGAATGCAGTCTCCCCTCTGGGCACTCATTCATTCATCATATCCTGCTGCAGAAAGCATTCTCCTGTTATCGTTGGAACATAGACTTGGTCCAGCTGATTCAGTTGCCTCAAATCCCAGAAAAGATCCCAGAAAAGAAAAGAAAAGAAAAGGGAAGGAAGGGCTCATGACCCGTATTGTTAATCATATTTGTACTGTTATCTTAGAGCAAATTGTTCAAGAAAACTGTTGTAGATTTTTCTACTTTTATGTATATATGTTAACATCATCAGTGTCCCATCGAGTATCTTAACATTTTGAGCAGTGATAGAAGGGAAGGAAGGGCTCATGACCCGTATTGTTAATCATATTTGTACTGTTATCTTAGAGCAAATTGTTCAAGAAAACTGTTGTAGATTTTTCTACTTTTATGTATATATGTTAACATCATCAGTGTCCCATCGAGTATCTTAACATTTTGAGCAGTGATAGAAAAATCATACCTGTGAGCTGCATGCAAACTGCCCAGCACTCCATTTGTGGCTTCTCCAAATTTGGTGAGGCTGAAAATTTCTGATTTGGATTTTGGGGAGGTTGGGTTTCTAGTGAGTTTTCGCTAATAAGTCTTGCAGGTCAGAACTGGTGGCAGGATCTAGCTGATCTTGACTGATCTCAGAAAAGCTACATAAGGTGAGGCCTAGTTAGTACCTGGATGGGTAACCAGCAGGATATATCAGGTCAGTAGTCTAGCATGGAAAAGTAAAAAAAAGAAATAAATTGTGGAAGAAAGTGGTCACAGACTAATTTTGTATTGCTATCAAGGACACAATATTCTTGTAATCACCAGATGTCAAGCTCAACTTGAATAAGGATCAGTAATAGTGATGGTAGAATTGGATGACCAAAAATCAGAGGTAGACATGTATTAGGTTATAAGATAGAAGATATGGTGGGGAACTTGAAGCCAAGCTTTTATCCTTCTCTGTTTTCATCTATTTGATTATATTCTTCACTATAGATCAGTGTTTCTCAACCTTGGCAGCTTTAAGATGTGTGGGCTTCAACTCCCAGAGTTGAACTCCCAACTCCCATGGCTGGCTAAGGAATTATGGGAGTTGAAGTCCACACATCTTAAAATGCTAAGGTTGAGAAACACTGTTATAGATATTTTTCACTATTCAGAGACCAGTTTAATACTGTAGCAATAATTAACCATATTATATATATAAATCAGTTGTACAATATATATTTATGTTTAGTAAAACCAGTTAAATTAAAACATATTTTAGAACTGGGAGAAGCTTTAACATAGTTAATGGAATTAAAAGTGATGAAATTATTTGGGATGAAGCTGAAGTGAGAGAATGCTGGAAGGAGGATTTTAGAGATAAATATTACATTTCACTTTTCCTTGCACATTCCTTATAATAATAATAGTTGCCAAATTTTGTTTTAGAGCCTGTATAATTAGGAAACAAATGGTGAAATCTGGCAATTTTATTTAAAAATCTGGAACACTTGCTTATTATTAAATTGTATAAAAGTTTTAGTTTATTAACTAACTTCTATCAATTGTGGGTTGGGTGATGGGTTCCTTGGCTGTCCCCCCACCTCATTTTTATTTATTTTGTGATAGTGGACAATAATAAATATGTAGAGATTTGCATGGGAATGATTGTGATATGTCGAAGAGAAAGTGAAGACAAATGCTATAAAAGTTAACATCCAAGAAGAAGTTTATGAAGAAGAGCTCATAACTGCAGGTGTAAATGGTGTAACTGGAGAAATGTTAAATACAGGTGTGGCTTGCTGATGGAGTACTGTGTAACTTACTTAATGTGTGAAAATTGTATCTATGTCTGAAGGCTGAAAGAATGCTGTTAATATTTCCCTTTACAAAGCGATAGGTAGCAAAAGTGAATGCAAAAACTGTACAAGAAATAGTTTGATAAGCATGCTTGGGACTTAACAGAATTCTGAGTGAAAGATACAAAAGATGACAATCAGCAAAATAGGCAAGTGCAGTGCAGCTTTAAGCTGAGAGGGGAATAGTGTGGTAGATATGTTTATGTACTTATATGTAATAAAAAACAATTTTACAAATTCTTGGAGATGTTTTGCTTGTTTTTTCTTTTAGAAAGATAAACCTGTTCCAGATAATGACCCAGTTAAACAAGGTGGGAGACAATTCACTTTTCTCTTTTTAATTCTCATTCTTCCGTTTGTAGAAATATTGATTAGTTCTATTCAAAGGGCATTGTTTCTAGAAGTATTCTGTTCAAAGTTTCTGTTTCTATAAGTATTCATGGCTCTTTCTAGGTTGATAATGGTTATGGCAGCCTCTTCTGTGAAAGCTTCTGCTGTTCCAGTTTAGCAGCATAGCTGTCTGTCACACATTTTCTGATACAGTGACGGCAACTGCATGCAGAAGGGAAAGTTTCAGATATACCTGGTTGATGCCTTGCTAAAAGATGGTTCAGGACCCTACTGGAAAGGCTATCTGCAGTTTTCTCTCTTTTTTGTAGGTATTCCCTGTCATCTGTTGCTTCTAAATTTTTAGGCAAATATTTTATATGCCCACCAATATAACACCCCTTTGTCATAAGCATCTGGTATCCAAATGAAAAACAAAACAAAACTAGTAGACTAAAAATAGTCATCCATTTAATAAAACAAACATTCTTCAGGTTGGGCTATACAATTTGTGCTTTATTAAATACCTAATTAGCTGAGTGGTTCACCACTTGAAGGTTGTGACTGAAACAACTTAAAGATACTCTAAAATGGTGACTGATGTATTGTATTATTTTTAGCATGTGAGAATCCTGAGATTCATACAGAGAATAATTCTTCACAAGCAATTACAGACAATCAAGACAGAACATCTGGAAGACTACTAGATAAGGCAAAAAGGGTAAAAACACTAAAATATCATTTGCAACAATATCAAAAAGGAAAATTATTATTCCATACTTGACATGCATACTTGGAGCTGTGTAATGACCTATCTATCCAATTTCATTTGTATATTTCATATAATTAAATGTTTTTGTGTTGCGATCTACTAGATTTAATTTCAATAGAAAATTGTTAATTGTTTACCATGCTAATTTGCATTTGAACACACAATGTTGTTAAATGTGGTTAGTCTCCTTGCTATTTTTTATTAACCTGGAATCATTTCAGCTATGCAGAAGCAATAGCCCATTTTTGGTGTTAGCTATATAGAATGCTTAATAGCTGAGTGCTCCAGTTAAGTCCAGCACTGCCACTCCATTAACATCACTCAGACAATATTAAGTGCTCCAGATTTTCAGAGGTTCAAGTGAAATGCATGCAAAAATGAAGCCAGATTACTTCTATGAGTGAGGACCCTGATAATGCAGGGTCCTAAGTGATGTAGAAGCTAATGTACATTCAAGTGGATGCATGAGAAGCTTTCTGTAGAGAATTACAGAGATGGTCTTGAAGAAAATATGCAGCAACCTAAGCTCAAAACTTGAGCTTAGCCTGAGAAAACAGGAAAGCCTGAGAAGAAAACTCCAAATTGCCCCATCTTGAGCCTCTTTAGTATAAGAGGGAGACAAAAGGAAATACTGTGATACTTTTGCAATGCTATTTATGTTCAGACTGCAGAGATGGGAGAGCTATGCATTTGAATAAGACCTTTCCCCTCTGATTTCTGCTTCTATTAGCAGAAAAATGTCATTTAACTCTACTCAAATTTTTTAGCCCAGCTTTCTCAATAATGTGTTAATTTTCCAGCTCCAAAAGTTTTTTTTAAAAAAAACATGGAATATTGAAATATGCAATCAGTTCCATATTGTCTAAAGTAATACAGTATGGCAAATGTGTGTTATGTTCATGCATGTTTGAAAAAGTTAAATGAACAATGTGATCTGGTTATATCATATGTGAATTTTCTTGGCCCTTTCACAAATTTTTACAAAACATTCAAGATGTGCATAGCCAAATTACTTTCTGACTTGTGCTTTTTGGATGGAAGGAAATTAAGGAATTTAGCCAAATTAGAAAACAATGGATAGGATAGTTTGACAATCAAAAGAGCTACAAACAAAATGTTTTAGTTCGAAAGCAAAGTAAGTTCCTGTTGACATAATTCTGTTTATGTTGTGAGCATAATACTCTGCAGTCTACTTGAATGTTGTAAACAAACATCTGTTACCAATTATAATGTGGTTGCATAACACTTTGTTACAATAATTCATTGGGAACTTTACTCCTTTATCCTACTTCTGCTGGCTTCAGTAGTTAAATGGCTAAAGTCTGAAATATAATGCAAATTTATTTGGAAGTAAACCCTTGGAATTCAGTGGGATGTTCTTTAGAATGCATGATCTGAACTGCAAATATATATTCTTGATTCATACTATTTCAAGATATTATGAATAAAGTCTTCAGGCTCCCTTCTTTTTAACCATTTTATAATAGTATTTCTTTGTTATTCATTTGTTTTCAGGATTGTTTATAATTATATGCATTGTTGTTTTCTTTATGTGTTTTAGTTTTCTTTTTTTAAACGAAGGTCTGTGAAGCAGAAAAATGCACATAGCTGTGAGGAAAGCAAACTTGAAAAGCTACCTCAAGGTGAACAGGATACAGGAAATCAAGCCAGTGTATCTACTGAAAAGAGTAAAGATGAAAACCAGAACCATACTGGGAAGAATCAAAGGGGATCACCATCAACATATCAGAACAGAAAGTCATCCTCTACATGTATAGTTCTTTAGTAATGAATGTATAAGGCTTGTATATACCTGATGTCTTACAAGCAGATACTGCAATTTATACATGGAAACAATAATGGCATCTATGTAATGATTACAGTATATATATATTTTTTGTAAAATTTAGCATTTTGGGACTGATCTACATTAACTTGGACCAACCTTCCCATATTTATTTGTATTCATAATTTTAGCTACTGCAACAAAATGAGTAACACAGTCTTATTGATGTGTTGTGGCCTTAACTTTAAGTGATTTTAATAAAATATATTTTTGTACATCAGAAGTTGGAATAAAGACTGAGACTTTTTTTCCTAAAAGGGTACAACTGTATGTGCGTATTGTAAATACTCTTTTGGCTAGAAATAGGCAGAAGAATAACTAATAAAAGTGCTTATTCTTTGGATTGTCTTACCTCCAAAAGCAATATTTGCAAACAGTAAACCTAGTTAAGATAATTTAGTATATTCTTACTAAAGTAATGGTTATTACTTTAGAGTTATGTGTAAGTACTGGTTTCTATAGCCCAGTGAAAGTACTTTCACTCTTGGTATTACATTGACTTGAGCTCCAACTCAGTTTTGATCTCTGTTCCATCATGGTTGGATCACTGTACAGTAACACTGGTTTGGTTGCCTTTGGAATCTGGAAATTTAGAACAGAATGCTGGTATAAGCCTTTGAAGCCAATGATCCAAAGCACAGGATTCCATTATTGTACAGTCTTGGATGCAATCTGTTTTGGGCTTTTTCCATTCAAATCTGTCTCACTGCGTTGCCCTGATTTGTATAAGCCACACTTGCAAATACCCCAGCAAGAGTGTTTTCACATATGGCTGCATCTTCTCAAGAGGTTGATTCATTCTCTGCAGACAAGGTGGTAACGCTGCCCTGCCTGATGGCTTCATCTGTTCAAGGCATAGAAGGAAGCTGTCAAACAAGGATTTAGTGCAATATGAAGCTAGAAATGCTGGCTCCCTCCTCCCTCTGTGCAGGGATTTTTTATTTTATTTATGTATTTAAACAATTTATATGGTTCCCCCTCCTCCCACAATTTGAAATTTCCAGTCTGGTGAATGAATACATGACTGAGTGGCTTTTGCCAAGGGATAGGACAACCCTCATCTAGACATCATCTAGCCTCCCAAGGCAAATGAACTGGACCTGGTTTTTCTCCCCTGGCATATCTGATCAGCACACTCTTTCTTACAATGGCCACTCAGATACTCTGGAGGCTAAAAGTATGCTTCCAGTGTTGCTCCCCAGTAAAGGTGCTAGTGAGAAGCTCACTGTCCTGTCAAATTTTCTTCTTGTGAACATTCTAGATAGTGCTCTGTCCTTTTCAGCCACAGCACTGGAATGTGCACCTTACTGGAAAGACAATAGGCAGGGATTTAAAAATAAATATTCTGCAGTGGTCCCAAGTCTGTCAGAAGCAGACAGACGTTGGGTTTGCAGTCTCCCTGTTGTCTGGCCAGCGTGTGACCGCGGAGGGCTGGAAGGGTTGGCGGGGGAGGAGAACCGAGGCAGGCTGCTTTGGGCCGGGGCAGAAGGAGTTTCTGCTTCCCACCAACTTCATGGAGGTCTCCAGCGCTTTCCAACCATTTCCTCTACCGCCTCTCTTCAGAAATTAAAGAGTCAGCAAGAGAGAGGAGAAAAAAAGTGTATTTGGAATTGCGTGGTGAAGGTTTTATTAAAGCCTTCTTTGAGATCGGAAAAAACGGCGACACTGCCAGAATGTGCGGACAGGCGATACCCCTCTGGCAGAGCGGGCTGGAAGCAGGGCTGCGCGTACCCTCGGAAGGCACCCTACGGCGTCCGTCCTCAATCTTCCTGCAGCTCTATCCTGGGGTGGGGGTGAGGGGCGAAAAGGGAGGGTTCAGGGGAAGCTTCAGTGCGCTTCGCCGGCGGGAAAAGAACGCAGGGGAGGAGTTTCTACAGGGCGCCCCACGGCTTGCTTGGCGAAGGTCTCCGTCCCTCCCCCGCCCCACAGCTCCCGCCTTTCACTCCGGCGAGCCTTGGAGCAGGGGCCCGACTTCTCAGTCGCCGAGGACCATGAGGGGCGCTCCAGTTTGCTTGGCAGTTCTGCTGGCGGTGGGCTCGCGCTTCAGCCTCGCGTACCAAGGTAGGAGTGCGTGCCTGGGAACGATTCCTGGAAACGGCAGGGGAGGGAAGGAGACGCCCCCGGTCCCGAGGTCCGACGAGAAGCCCTCGAGGCGGCGAAATAGCCGCCGCGCTTCGACCGCGGCCACTTCTGGAATGTGGAGGCGCGTCAGGAATGCACCCTCTTGTGTGACGCCTGCCCCAAAAAGAATGCGCCCATCGTGGAGTTGTCACACTCTCGCATTAGGAGCATCCGATATTTCCGGAGCGAAAGAAGGCATTGCTCCTGGAAGGCGCTTGGAAGCGTTCTGGATGCCTGGGAAGCTCTGCCCCGGGTCAACCAGCGGGCCAAATTGGCAGGAGAGCAGCGCGAGCAATGCAGCGCTGGCTCTCGTCAGTGGGCCAACTAGGAGAGTGCAGCCCTGGCTCTTGTCTGATGAATGAGACGTTGGTAGGCACCTTATCTAGAACGGCATTCACATCTCTATCTACTCAGGGACACAGTGTTAAAATACTGGTATTCAGTTCAATATATGGGCCACAGTTAACCAAGATTCTTGCCTCTAGTCACATCTTAAGTTTTTGCACTTAATCTTGAAAATGCACCGGCATGAGTGTTCTCAGTGGGATATTTCTGCTATACTATATAAATAAAGTAACTCTATGTAGGAATCATGTCTTAGTAGACACTAGGAGCTTTTTCATGATTGATGTCACATTTCAAACCACATCTCAGAAAATTAGATTTGCTATACCATCATATCTTTTATGTCATAGCAATGCATGCAAGCATGTTATGGTGCACATAACTAAGCCAATTTCTGTGTGTGTGTGTGTGTGTGAGACTGTCATATATTTTAATGCTCACAATTCCATTGCTTCTTCATTCAGGATAGTTGCAGGTTTTTGATTATACAGAGTCAGTATAGCATCCTTTGGTTCAAACATCTTATCTGCTATGTGTCTGAACAGATTACTGTTCTATTCTTAGATATAAGTGCTCACTAAATAAAAAATTACTAATATTACTACTATCACTAATAAATTCCTGTCAAGTCATAATCTTGTGGAATGGATTTGGTAAAGTCACTGTCACTTAGCCTTCATTCTATACAGTGGATATTAAAATGATGTACCTCAAAGGATTTGTTTACTAAATTTAAATACAGGTAGTCCCTGGGTTAAGAACACACGGTTTACAGATGACCTATAGTTAAGAACGGAGCCTACTGTAGCAAAATTCAAGTTAAATATACAATGGTTCGAGTTTATTACATAATACTACTTATACAGTATTATACAATAATACTATTCCAGCTTACATACAAATTCGACATAAGGACAGGCCTTGGGAACGGAACTTGTTCCTAAACTGGGAACTACCTGTACTGCCTTTCGCTGAGGAATGTTTCAGTGTATCTTTTAAAAAGTTAAAACAGTATTGAATCCAGTTCCAACAAAAACCCAATGGAAAAGTGCTATGCTTTCTAAAAAGGTTAAGCAAGCTCATGATTCTATCAGGCTCTGTAATTACGAGTCTAATTGTGCCCTAGTATCAATGCTGATCAGTCAGCACCCCATGTGGCTTGATTTTCTTTTTGTTTATCAGTCCTGGGACATTTGTTCAAATCCATCTTTGTTGTTGATGTGGCCTATCTTATATAAATCTGGCACAAACTTCCAAACTTCTCCCGCTGTAGCTTCTGCAGAAAACTGAAAGGCTTACTGGGGACTTGATTTGACACTTTTTTTTCCTAAAAAAAGAGGAAACTGACATGTTGCAAAGCAAAGCACCAAACTCCCACATAAACCTTATTTTGAAATCAGCCTCAAGGCATTTTCAGGAAACAAAAAGATTGGAGGCAGAAACCCAGTGATTTATTTAGAAATCCATCACTTGCTGAGAAGGCATATCTCCCACATGATAGATATTTTGTGAAAGGATAAACATCCTGCCCCAGCTGCCATTTTTGTCTTTTTGTTTTGGGTTCTTGATATGAATCAATACCCATGTAAGGTATTTCTGTCCTTAAAATATATGTTATTTATTTGTTTGCTTGTTTATTTGATTTGTTAAGGCTACCAAACTCCAGAAGGACTCTGAGCGGCTTACAATATATGCAGTACAAAAGTTAAAAACACAACTAAAACAATATGACTGCCTGGACTAAAACGGCATTCACAACATTAAAAAAAAAAGGCTTGACAGGGGCTCCAGAGACACCTTAACCCCAGGCCTGGGAACAGAGCCAGGTCTTAAAGGACTTCTGGAAACCAAGGAGGGTGGGAGCCATACATACCTCCAGGGCCATGCTGTTCTAGAGGGCAGGGGCTGTGACAGAGAAGGCACACTTCCTCAGTCCCAGGAGATGACAACATTTAATGGAGGACACTGGACAGGCAGAAATAACTGGAGACAGGTAGTCCCTCAAGTAACCAGGCCCTATACATGTGAAGATAGCATATTAAGGACATTTCTTAGTTCATTATTTTTAAACTTTGAATGTTGCCCTTCAGATCAAATCTTCCTTGGTAAAAATTGCACTACACTAAAATCACTGATAAAATGTTGGAGTAATAATTAAATGCACAATAAAATAAACACATTATATGGATTGGAATGGTATATAAGTTCCAGTAAGCAAGTAAGTAAATAAGTAAGTACAAATAAATAAGTATATACATATACAATACATAATGAAAGCAGCTGCCAGAGTACTTAAAAACATAAACCTTTAAAATCTGCTCTAGGAAGGAGACAAACCACTTCCGAAACACCTTGCCTTGAAAACTACAGGGACTCGTCCAGGCAGTTGCCACAGAATCGGTAACGATTGAGTGCGTAGACAGACAGACAGACAGACAGACAGACAGACAGACAGATAGATAGATAGATAGATAGATAGATAGATAGATAGATAGATAGATAGATATTAAAAGAACTGAGAGAATTAACTCACCTTTGCCTCCCAGAAAAAAAGACAATAAAATCAGTGCTAGGAGTATGCCAGTGGGGAGGAAATTCCACAACTAGGAGCTGCCACTGAAAAGCCAGCCTGGAAGGTTTTTCAGAGCAGCTTCTCCCAGAGATGAGCTTCAGGGACAGGTAGGAACGCACC